TGATCAGAAGCTTCTTATAATAGTGAAATTCTTCTATCACTAATATCACTACTTTAAGAGTCTTGTGACAGTGATTACTGTTAGAACTGATCATAATAGCTTGTAACAGTTTACTTCAATCAAGAAACTCTTACAGTGACAGATTCACTGAGCTCAGAGACTGAGTGAGTTCTGATTCAAGATAGAATATATCAAGAGAACTAAGAACTCAGCAGACAGACTCTCTCACAGGTCAGACTATATTAAGAAGGTCAGAGTGACAGACATAGAGGAACTAGAGAAGGTAGAAAAGCTTCATAAGATGCTCAGACTGAGTATTATAAAGAGATTGACTGAAGAGTCTCTCAATCCTCTGTGAGAGAAGAGGAAGAAGAGAGAGAAGAAGCCTATACAACTACTCTCTATAACACTGAGAGTCAACACTCTGAGAATCTCTGTGAGAATTCTTGAAGAGAATATCTATAATCTGAAGAGTTTGTAAGCTTTGAGAAGCATTATGAAAGACCTAGTGTAAGAGAAAACAGAGTATAAGTCTTTGTAAGATCTTCTATTCAGATTGTCTGAACTGTAACTGAAGAATGAATATACTCAGTATATTTAAAAACTGCTTATGACAGAGATTAATCCTGCAGAAATAAAGAGTTGAAGAGACTTAAATAATCTCTTATGAAGAGAGGGTCAGATTTATGTGTCTGTGAATGAGTTTCTATATATAGAACTTATTAAAAGATATCATGACTCTTCTCTAGCAGATTATTTTGCAGATACTAGAACTTATAAGCTGTTTACAAGAAAATACTTCTGACTGAAGATGCAAGAACTTGTGAAGAAGATAGTGAATTCTTATACTATTTATCAGAATTCGCAGATAGTGCAGTTCAGGTTATATAAAGAACTTACTCCTCTACTCATTCTGCAGAAACCTTGAGAACAGCTAGAAATGAATATTCTTATGAGTCTCTCTGAAAGCAAGGACATATATAATGCCTGCTTTGACAGTGTGCTGATGATAGTGAATTACTTTATCAAGATGACACACTTTATACTCATCTGCAAGAACTTGAAGTCAAAGGATTTGACTCATATCTTCATCTGTGATGTGATTCAGTTGCATGAATTGCCTGTGAACATTGTCTCAGACAGAGAATCAATCTTTGCAGAAGAGTTCTGATCTGACCTGATAACTATACTGAAGATTTCATGAGATCTAAGCACAGCTTTTCATCAATAGACAGATGATCAGATAGAATACCTGATGAGTATATTAAAACAGTATCTGCAGTGCTTTGTCAATTACAATCAGAATAACTGAGTATATTAATTATCACTTACAGAGTTCATATACAACAACTCAAAGCATGTCAGCACAGATAAAACTCTCTTTGAGATGCTCACTGAGACTCATCTGTGAATAATCTTGATAAACCCGCGAGAGTACACTATAGAGTGTGATGATATCTGTGAATGAGCTGAGAGAATTCAGAAGATTTGAGAGAAAGCTCATAAATTCTTGAGAAAGACTCAAGAGTATCAGAAGAGATACTATGACTTCAAGTATATTATAAAGAGTTTCAAGAAAGATGATAGAGTCTGACTGAGTCTAGAAAACATCATCATACAGAGATCTAGTAAGAAGCTGAATCTCTTATAAATAGAGTCTTGCAAGATTGTGAAGAAAGTTAGCTTACAGTTCTACAGATTGAAACTGTCATCTGAGTTACAGATATATAATGTTTTTCATATCTCTTTACTCTGTGAATATAAGAAATTCTCAGAAGAGAACTCTGTGACTCATCACTCTGTTTATAAAGCACTAGAGAGTGAAAGAGAATATCAGATTAAAGAAATTATTGACTTAGAGAAGTGAGATCACAAGCTCTGATTCAAGATTCAGTGATAAGAGTATTCTGACAAGATGAATGAGTTCACTTGAGAATCATTCAGATAGATAAGATATCTGCAGAAGCTGAGACATGACTTTCATATTATAAATTCTGATAAGTCAGAATGATGCAGTCTTTACTAAGAACCTGATTATGATAAAGATATTAACACTGTCATTTGCAAATCCTAGTCTATAAGATGATGAGTTTCTACTGGGATGAATAGTCTGTGATGTATGCAAGAAAAGAAGAAAACATGTTCTTATTAAAGTTAAAAAACAAGAAAATAAACAGGGCTGTGAATACAATTTAGAGATTAATAAAGAAAAAATAAAGAAAATTCACACTCATATTATTAACATCTATGACACTCAATTTCTTCACAACTACTAATTTTCTTCTTCAAAGAAGCAGAGAGTATCATGTCTGTGATACAGACAATTATTGTATTTAATGCAAAGACTGTCAGAAATGCACAGACTTCAGAGAAGTTAAACATCAGAGCATGCACAGTTGTAGCAGAGTCTTGAAGACTGGTCATCTGTGCATGTAATCAGATATCTCTTACAAAGCTGTGTTCACTCTCTCAGTTGTGCTGAAGTATTCAGCTCAGAAATAATAAGAATACAGAGAGAGAGCTCATCTGTTCAGATCAACTCTTATTATGAATTCATAGCATTTGCATTGTCTTAACTATCTGAATTTTACAGGTATCTGAGAACTCATCTTTCATTGATAATGAGATTGCAGAAATGCGCTGTGGTGTGAGAATCATTGATAGAAAATCTAGGCATATTCACATATGCCTGATCAGAGATTGTGTGAACAGGAAAGAAGTGATTGTAGACCTGTGAGACTGCAGAAGACACTGATAACATCAGAAGCTTTATAAGAACTGTCAGCTAGAGTCTGTAAGAAATTACTTATGAGAAGACTTACAGCAAAGAGAGGGACTGTGCTGCTTGAAGTCAGGAACTGATCTGAGAAAGAAATGAAATGAGCTGCTGGCCTGAAGATCAGATGCAGTGACAGGGCTGAGAGAGATGAAGATGTGATTGTGAACAGCAGTGTCCCTGCTTCACCAGCTGATAAAAAGTGATTGAAGAAGTTGCAGAAATGCTCATAAGAAGCTTGATGACAGTCAGACATTGTTTGTAAAGATATTGAAATTGAAAAAATTTTTATTCTTAAGAAGTTCTTGAATTAATATATGAATATTATCAGGAACACTCTCTCTCTGTTATCTGAGTAAAAACACTTTATGAATGAATGAAAATACTCACAGTTTGTGAGAATGAGAGCTGTTACAGAAAAAGAAAAAAGAAGATGAGATTTCATAGACAGATCTGAAATATTTATACTACTTTAGAGAGGTTTACTTACACTGTGAGTGATTCTGTGAAACAGTCAGATCACTCTAGTAAATAAGAGTGATTATGAATCACAGGCCTGAATCTTTCTATGTGACTACAAAGAGTGATTACAGACTGTGAACATCTTGATTCTACAATTCTACAGAGTTGATGAAAGAATAGAAAATTTCTTACAATTCTACAGTGTCAAAGAGCAATGATTTGTAAGAATGAATGAAAGATTAACTCATGAATGTTTCTCTTTAATAAGAATAATCTTATAGAGAGTGATTCATCTGCAAGATGAATCTATGTGATGATTACACAAGAATCTTGTGAAAATGATTAAGAGTCAATCAGAACTCTTCTATATGAAAGATGCAAGATGAATCTGTATGATAGTCAGAGAAGAATCTGTAGATCACAAAGAATCTTATAGAATAAGAAACTGAGTGACAGACTCTTTTTTCTTTATAATAACAAGGGATTTTTCCTCACTGAGGTTTTTTATAGATATGAAGGATTTTTAGTGAGTATCACTGCAGTGCTGAGCTGACTATGAAGTCACTCAGTGAAAGGCTTTGTGGATGAAGCCTTAGAGAGGGAGAAGTATGTAAGAAATCTCACTTCTCACAGATTCTTTACCTCTATTCCTATCTCTCATGTAACCAATAGGGCTAGCGGCCCTTGGCTATACATAACTATATAGACTGGAGTTTGTGAATACTATTCACAACTCAGCTTGAATGCTATTATACATTTGATCTCTACATTTATCTTTCTACTGTAAACACTTCTAGTAGTTAACAGTACATATCATGCCAAGCTGCAAACACCTGAATAATCGCCTGCGAGTACTTATTCTTACACATTCTTTAATCTTTCTCTCAAGTGTGGAGGCACATAGGTTGATCAGCAGTTGAAAGTAATGTGTCTCAATCAGTTACAATTGATGCATACTTCACATTGATGTCAATTAGTGTGTCAGGAAAAAGAGGTTATACACTACTGAACGCCACCAACATCGTATTACTACAATATTTCTCATCATCATCAGCTTACTACAACACTCATCTAATACTCGCTTATGCTAGCTCTCTTGGCTTGCACATATATTTTACTATAAATAGCTCCATCTTTTGTATGAAATAGATATATTAGATAGTGCATGGATAATATAACAAGCAGATCTTGATACAGATAAGATTCATATGTCTTCAACATATTCATCCGTGACACTCAATCCGACAGTTATGAGCCCAGTAAGCAGCATCTGAAGAGAAGTGTGATACACCACAATCTCAATTCTCATTTGAATTTGACAACAATCATTTGAACTGAGATGATTGATTCTCATTTGTATACAGTCTGATCTACTCGACTGTTATACCCGATTCCTGGTAAGCAGCATCTGAAGAGAAGCGCGATACACCACGATCCCAATCCTCATTTGAATTTGACAACAATCATTTGAACTGAGATGATTGATCCTCATTTGTATATGGTCTGATCTACTCAACTGTTATACCCGATTCCCGGTAAGCAGCATCTGAAGAGAAGCGCGATACACTGATCCCAATCCTCATTCGAACTGATAACAATCATTTGAACTGAGATGATTGTTCCTCATTTGTATACGGTCTGAAATACTCGACCGTTATACCATACACCGATCCCAATCCTCATTTGAACTGATAACTATCATTTGAACTGAGATGATAGATCCTCACTTGTATACATTCCGATATAATTGACTGTTATACACCCTGAATTCTGATCATATCTATCCGAAATACTCGACCGATATGACAGACAAGACAATGTCTAGTGCAACTGTACACCTTAGCGTTCCTGAAGATTGGAAACTTTGGTACAAGCATATGCTAGGATATGCAAAGGACAAGAAGGTATCAGACTTCATCAATCTTGATAAACCTGATATCTTCTCTGAACTAGAAGAACCTCTGGAACCTGAGTGTCCAGAAGAAGCCACCGCGGAGGCCAAGATAGCATATGACATCAAGGTCACTGCGTGGAAAATCAAATATATGAAATATGAAAAAATGAATGAAGGTATGACAAAGATACAAGATGTCATATGAAGAACAGTGGATGCCACAGAGCTATGACATGTACGCAGTGAGAATGATGATGTGAAGGAGATTATCCATTCATTAAGAGATTGTCTCTCACCCACGACCGCGGACTATCAAGATGATGTGAGAACCTGATACCATGATCTCTGCAAAGCACCGAAAAACAGAGGTATAGAGAAGTGGTTAAATGACTGGTCACTCATTGAAGATGATATCAAAGAGGCGGATATAGCTGGACAGTTCAACTTGAAAAAAGACTTCTTAAATGCGAACCTAGCTATTGATGCAGGATATGCACAAGCATGGGCAAAGAATGTTTGATGTGATAAAGATGTCATATCTTTGATAGAGTTAGTTAAGGACTTCAAGGAATGGTATAGGGAAATGGGTATTCTCAAAGGAGATAAACCTATGAACTTCGCTACCCTTAATGGAAGACCTCAGCAATCATCACCAGCGACATTTGAAAACTGCATCTGTGGAGCCCGTCACCGATACACTCAGTGCTACTATCTCAATCCATCAAGAAAGCCACCTGGATGGAAGGAAAATGAGGAGAAGAGAACTCAGATTGATCAAGCTCTTAAGAATCAAGAATTGAAGAGACATATTGATCATGCGATATCTAGAGATTCATTCACAAATACAGATATGGTAGATGCCAATGAAGCAGTTCTAGGAGGAATGGTTCTGAAGCAATCAGTTCCTCAATCTATTGATTATCAATCTATCGATCATCAATCTATCGATCATCAATCTATCGATCATCAATCTATCGATCATCAATCTATCGATCATCAATCTATTGATCATCAATCTATCGATCAGCAAATCTGAAAAATATCGATGAACTCTTCACATTCTCGCTCCTACCTCCGAAACTCCTGGATCTTTGATACTGGCGCGGAACAGCATATATACAATAATCAAACATGTTTCCTATTCTTTACACCTGCGAACGAGAATGTGGAAGTCTATACAGACAATTCCAGCACTAAAGTTGAAGGTTATGAAACTGTTAGAACTATCATGATAAATGAAGCAGGAAAGCAGTTCAATGTCAATCTCATCAATGCAGCTTACATACCGAATTTCCATACAAATATCATCGCATGGAAACCGTGTTTCCATATAGAAGGCATCTATTATGATGAAAAAGACTTCAGATTGTGAAAATGCGCAGATAATACAATCTTTGCACATATTGAAGTATTTGAGGGGTTGCTAGTTACAGAATATAATAGTGAAACAGCTGTTTTCTCAACTATCTCAGAAAAATCCACTACTGAAGCTGATGCAGCTACCACACCACACACATCTAACATCACTATATCTGAAAAAATGATATCTTCAAATTCTTCAACTTCTACAAATCATCCTTCTTCCAACCTGTCAATATGCACAAAACCTTCTTAAAAACCTAAGATCTCTATAGCTACTCAGTCAACATGGCATAAGAGATTAGAACATTCATTGAAAATCGCCATTCAAAAGCTTGCAAATGATGCAACTGGTGTTCAAATCACTCATCAAGAAGATGCTGCGGACGAGCTTACCACCGAGCTTTGCAAACCCTGCCATCTATCTAATGCGGAAAATCAAATATCTAGATGTCCTCACATTAGATCTCATACACCTGAACCTACGCCAGGGCCAGCGGGCCCTAATGTTGATACAGGTTCTAATGTTGATACAGGTCTCAATATTGATATTAATACTCATCCAGCTGTGATAGATAATTGTACACAGAACAGCAATGTTGATATCAATACATATACAGCTGCGATAGATAATTGTACACGAGCCTGAAATCACAGAGCTGCCCACCTTGTGGCAGTTGCAAATGCCAAAGCCAATCCTTTTCAAATGATCAAAGATGCATTCTCTCATTCACATTCACACACAGACTTCAACAAGTCTCAATATTTATTTCCAAATACTGTTTTCACAGTTATCAACAATACAGCTACATCAACAGCATTCATACTGACTTCAAGAATCCATAAATCTCAACTGCCAGATCCACTGAACCACTGGGCAGATGTTGAAAAACACTCACATTGCGAAGAATCTGAGAATGCTAGGCTTCACCTCTATGCCAGAGGATTGCTGCCTCTTCTCAAATGATCGATTAATTGTCTTCTTCTATGTGAATGATATCGTCATCCTATCCCGATGGGAGGATTCAGATGAAAGATATCAATCTGAGAATGTGTTCAATCTGGTGATATTACAGTTGATTGAGTGCCTACGGCTCAGATGCCAGCGGATGGCCTCAATAAGGCTCTGCCACGCCAGAAACATACAGAATTCGTCAAGATGCTAGGCCTAGTTGATATATCAAATATCATTGAGGTGCAAGCAGAATAAATGATCTATCTTGATGTAATCTCTACAGATTCATCTACACTCTTTTTGTTACAGATTCATCTACACTCTTTTTGTTGCAGCTTCATTTACACTTTCATTTACATGTTACATTTGCTGAAGAGGGTGTGTCAGGAAAAAGAGGTTATACACTACTGAACACCATCAACATCGTATTACTACAATATTTCTCATCATCATCAGCTTACTACAACACTCATCTAATACTTGCTTATACTAGCTCTCTTGGCTCGCATATATATTTTACTATAAATAGCTCCATCTTTTGTATGAAATAGATATATTAGATAGTGCATGGATAATATAACAAGCAGATCTTGATACAGATAAGATTCATATGTCTTCAACATATTCATCCGTGACACTCAATCCGACATAGTGACTTCTTCAGAAGTGATCCCAGGGACTCAGAAGCCTGTTTGAACAGTGAAAACTCTTGCTTGTGTATAGGCATTTGAATCTATTCAGTTTATGACATCTGCATCATTGTTCTTCAGTGTGAGTGTATAAGTGACTGAGTTATCTGTCAGTGCAGGTGTATAAGTCACTAAAATGTAATGTCTTCTGTCACTGTTCTGTATATTCTTGAGCTTGATAAGACAGTCATTCATTGTCTGAAGCTGTGTGCAGAAGCCTTCATAAGTCTGATCTTCATCTATGCTTATAAGAGCCTGTAAGAGTTTAAAAGTTAATATCTTCTTAAGTATGTTAATCTTTATTTAATTCTCTCAAGACTGATCACCTACTTCTAGAATCTTAGTATTAAAGTCAGAAATGAATGTTATAAGAGAATTGTTTCTCTGTTAAAAACTCTGTAATCAATCTAATACTTTCTATTATATAATAGTGTCTTAAAACAGAATATCAAGATATCTTATGATATTATCAGATATTCATAACACTGATTCACATACTTTCATTTATAAATGAAACTTCTATTTCATGTAATTCTTTAATCATTCATTAATATATTAATCTTGATTAATTAATAAACTGATGAAATCTTCATCTATACTTAGTTTCATGAGCATTTTTATTCTTTATGATAAGTAGAGAGTGAGATCAGAAGTATTGAAATATGTAAGAGTATCTAAGTATTCTTTCAATGCTTTTGTATTTAATTCTGTAGATATTAAAATTATATGAGTTTCTTATTATGATAATTGTTAAATCTCTTCATGTTAATATTGTTAAGTTATATACATATCTGCTATCTGTTGCTGTTATAGTTTTAACATTACTTAAAGCCACTGTGACATCATGTCTATACTCGCGTTTAAGAGTTTCATATTCTCATTAGACATGATTATATCAATTGTTGAATGTGTAATCATATTCTTATATATCTGAGTGTCAGAACTCTCAGATCTTTCACTGATATTCTCTTTATAAGATCTTACTCTCTTTGTAAGATCTTGTTACAGAGTCAGAGTAACTGATAAGCAAGCTTCTATCTGAGAACTATCTGAGAACTCAGTGTTCACTTAACTATTTAACTGTTTCTTACATGTTATTACACATTCAGATATCTCTCAATGAATAATCATTTCTAATGAGAAGACAATGTGTGAATAATTGTTTTCTAATAAGAAGACAATTAGTATTTTTATAGTATAAGAGGCCTACACTGAATAGATCAGTATAATATTGATAGGTCTTATATAATAAAGATAAAAACACTAGAGAAAAAAAGAAAGAGAAAGTATGAGAATCAGTGATTAAGATAAATATTTATACACATATATGATGATGTATGCAGTGAAGCTTCAGAGTGAAAGAATATATATGTATTTATAGCAGCTGAGAATCAGCAATTAAGAATGACTGAGAATTGAAGCATATGTGAAATCTGTGAAGTGTAACAGAATAGTCTATATAATTAATCAGAGTGGCAGCTGAGAATCAGTGATTGAGAATGACTGAGAATTGAAGTGTATATGAAATCTGTGAAGTGTAATGAAATAGTCTATATAATTGATTAAGCGCAGCCCGCTACATCTGAGAACTAAAAGTTCTCAGATAGATATCATAGTCTCTGACTGTATACATCTATAATTGAAGAATAATAATAATAATAATATATACTCTGATTGTCAGTCATTCTTAATCATCAATTCTTATTCACTATAAATGTATATAGATTCTTCCGCTCTGAATCTTCACTGTGTACACTAGACTGACCGCCGGAACCATGAATTTCACATTTGGTTTCATTTAGTCTGGTCTCATACATTTCTTGACGTGAGTCCCACTAGAACCAAGCCTTAAAAAAATCTGAAAATGAACCATTTCTGAGAGAAATGATGTGAAAAATGACCAGATTTAATTCAAGAACAGTGAAATGAGAGTAATTTTTCAGAATAAACTGTGAAAGATAATTATTCTTTCAAAATCAGAATAAGACTGAGACTGAAGATTAAAATCAGTCTCATTCAGTTCATTCAGTAATTGCTTATATAATTAGAATTTGATAATAATTATTGATAACACTTATGAAACAACTAAATACATTCTTGTATAAGTTTATTCTTCACTTTCTCATGAAAACTACACTTCTCTGATATACTGTAATCAGAGATATTAAACTATCTGATAATTTCATATTTTATAATTATGAGTTTCTTAATTATTTCTTCTTGTAATTATTCTCAGTGATAGTGATAAATATCTTGACTTGAGTTGAACTTTTACTTCATTCTCATCTCTGTCAATGAAATTGTCAGAATATCATGTATTATCAGTGTAATAATTGAATATATACTCTCAACAATTTTTCATAACTCTAGAATTAATTTAGTGTGTAAATTCATCAGATTATCTTGAAGATAGTAATCAAATTCAGTTTTATAAGTATATAGTTTTATCTGATTTTCAGTTATAATTAATATATACAAGTTCTGTTTCAAAGTTAGTATTATAGTTCTATGTGATATAAAGTGTTATCAAAGATTGTTACTTACTAGAAAATTATATTTCACTATCTTTATATCTTGAACATCTGCTTATTTAAATCTCTGATAGTTGATATTGTAGTAGTCTCAGACTAATTTAATATATAAGTCTCATTTCTTCTCTGTTCAATCTTGAGAAGTGTAGATATTAACTTAATAAGAGAAATCTAGTAGAGCTGCTACAGTATAGTACTCTGTAAAAGATTGTTTCATTTTACTGTAGTAATATACCAGTTTATTTCTTACAGTAATAATAGCCTGTGTTATAATATTATCTCAGACTGAATTTCTTTTTAAGTGATTTAACTGCTTCTTAAGATAAGTAAATAAACTATTATATATTCATCAGACTGACTGCAGTATTGATATATAAGTGATTAAGACTATCTTTATTATTTTATAAAACTGAAACAGTAAATCAATCATATATTTCAACTGAGTTCACTTTATATCAGAAAGTTTCAATATCTGAATCTTTTTCTAATCAGAGTATTACACTCAATGATTAATTATCTGATACAATTAAAGAGTCTGAACAGTTATCTTATATATTAAACTTCACT